TCTCCTGTGTTGGATAATGTATAGCAACGTCATAAGTACAACTAGATACAGGTGCAAGAACATATACGAACCCTTTTAGAGTTTATATCTTGATAAGTACTATTGCGACCACACGCACAATTCGACAGCTATGTCGGTACGGTTGCGACTGACCTTGATGGCGTTTGGTCTGACGGTAAAGACAATGTTCTTGCGAGCGTTCGGATCTTCGCATTGGTCAATCATCGTGAAGGTCACTTTGTGTCCGAACGGCCAAGCGTTGAGCGAGTCGTAGTCGCCTTTGCATAGACAGATGAAGACGGATACAAACTTGCCCAGAGCTGCAATCATAGTACACCACAATCATCTACATGCTATCCGCTGTCATTTCGCATGTCATTGCAGCATACGTGTGATTGGAAAGTTTTATGGTTGCTCGTTGAGGGGAAACAGTTATTTTCGGGACTCGGGATTGGACCCGTTTAATTATATGGTAACCGAGAAATACTAAATGAATTTTTCGTGAATCGGGAATAAATGTCACTCAGTACGCGGGAAAGTCGAAAATGCGGTTTCAATTACCTGGCAAATTGCATAATTTTACCTGGGAAACTAGTATTGCCTACTAATGGGCTCCCTCTCATTTAATCGCCAAGTGTATTTGTCATACGTCGCAGCATTCGTTTTACACTTGGTTTCTCATAGATTCGAATTTAACTCGGGCTGAGGAATTTAGTAGATTGCTAACCCCTTCCGTCGCCATTCGGACAAGCACTCATTGCCATTTTGTAACCGTAACGACTGGTCATGAATGGAGGGGAGTAGATGGTTGTCTTCTTGCCCGACTTTGCGTCGTGCAGCTTCTCGCCATATTTGTCGATCTTCCAAAGAAGCTGTGAGCCGTATAATTTCTTGAACGATTGTACCTAACAATATGCGTAAGCATAATTATATTTATGATACGCAGACCATGCACATGTATATATTATAACCACATGAACGTATGCACCCACCCACACACGAACGCAAATACACGCGCGCGCGCTTACGCACGCGCGCACACACACGCGCGCGCGCGCACACACACACATACACGCGCACGCACACGCACGCACACACGCGCACACACGCACATGTACACACACACGCACGCGCACGCACACACGCACGCACACACACGCACATGTACACACACACGCGCGCGCGCTCTGACCTCTGCGTCGATGTTTGTGACCTGACGCTGCATGTCATAGGTGACCTTGCTAGCGGCGCCGCCGCACCGAGCAGACCAACGTGCTGCTGCAGCTCCATTCTCCTCGTGTTTCCGCATCTCGAGACGCTTACCGTTGAAGGCGCAGCCCGAAGGTGTGGAACTTACAGGGCACGCCCGCGTTCACACAGTCCTCCTCCGTCGTGTCTCGTCAGCTAAGGCAACATTCACCACAATTACCACAGTTAACTCCAATCCGCATATCAATACCAGCATCTCTTCCGTATCAATTGTCTAATTCAATAATCGATTTTAATATTATATGAATATTCAATTCCATTACAGTAATCGGCTATCCAGTAATCATATTCATCAGTATCGGTATCAGTATCAGTATTAATGATGATATCATGAACATATTATGTTCCATATCAGTTCGATGTCATTGCGGATGCCAAATTCGTAGGTAAGCGATACCACTAGGAAAGCGTGTGTTCTTTTACTCCTGCATAGATTGTATAGTTGCGCGTTTGGAATCTTTAGTGGCACATAGTGCGTTATAATAGCTAGTGTAAAAATCTACTGGAGAATTAGATAGCTGCGCAAGAGTCGGTATATAGATCTTTAGTTATATTCGCGAGGCGTACCATTAACGCAGGCGAGTGACAAAATAAACGGGAATTAATGGCGACAAACGGCGACGTTATAATATGGAGTGATTATACCCCCGGCAACAAGCCGTGTTGTTTCTATCGGCCGCTAGGTGTCAGCTCTTACGTCGGCGCGAGCGATGTTTTTCGTCTGGCAGCCGTTCGGGCAGGTGACAGGCAGCTTCGGGCAGGTGTTCAGATGCTCCAGTTCCTCGTCATACTCCATCTTATCCGCGCAGAAGTCGCAGGCGACGATGCGGCGTGGACACTCCTTCTCCATGTGCTTCTTCAGATAGCGCGCCTCCAGCGTCACGCCACATTTGAGTCTGCACTCGACCATGTTGAACTTGCACTCGTCGTGGTGGGCCTGAAAAAATTTGGTAGCGGGGCAAAATGGATCCATCGGGCGAGTTATGAAACTCCTTCTTATAGATATTCGCTTTATCATCGGACAATACCAACATAGAATGCTCTACCACCTACTACCAAGACTGCTCCTGATGTGGCTTTATTTAAAAACCTAATTAACAGCGGTAAAGAAAACGTGAAGAAAATTTAGGTCATCAAAGCGATGCATGATGACCTGTACGTCTAAAGTCACACCAGGCGATTGTATAGTAAAGTATCAGACAAGAAAAGACAAGAAAGACAAAAACCGTTGCGTTGGATGCGATAGGAGCATAAACAAGAGAGCGACCGAATGTAGGCTGTTGGCGTATTAAATTAGTGAAGGATCACTGAACAAACTCATTGATCA